AAAAAAAAAAAAAAAAAAAAAAAAAAAAAAAAAAAAAAGAGAAGGGAGAAGAGAGAGATAGAGAGAGAGAGAGAGAGAGAGAGAGAGAGAGAGAAACTATGTTTCTTAAAATAAAGTTAATTTAAAAAAGTCCCACCAATCTCTAAAGCTTCTTAATATTCACATTCAATCTCCAGACTTAGAATGTCTCCACCTACTTTCTCCTCTGCGTCAAACAAGGAAATGTAGGAAAGAAGCTTAACATTTTTGTACTGAATTATATTACTTTTCTATTCTATATTAATCATTAATATTGCAGCATTTCCATTCATTGGTATTGTATTTAAGGTAATAACAGTATTTCATCTTGCACAGGTTAAATAATCTTTTTGGGAATCGTGCCGTTAGTTATTGCTTTTGTGAAATGGTTTAGATGCCAGAGAACAAAACTGATATCAGTGTGGAGATCCCTTTTTAATTGATGAAATATAGAATGGATTTAGGTGGGGAAGCCTGGGCAAAGGCTTATTCAGGTGGAAAATAGGATGCAGATAAGAAAATACAAACTGATATAAAACAAAAGATACAAAACTGGGCACTTGTAGCTGTGGCATTTAAGAGACACAAATGAGATCATAAATGAGACCCATACTTCTGGAGTGCAGCAATTTGGAAAATGTGTACACTGTGAAATCATCTTTCTGTATATAGATAGAAAGATAAAATTCAAGTATCTGTATTGTTATGCCTTATTATTTTTTATTTTCTTCATTTTGGTTTTATATAATCCAAACATTTTTTACAATTACTGAATGTTACACAACTTTGAGTTAGCATTTTTGTTTGTTTTTTGTTTTTCTGTTTTATTGTAATGCACGTGTTCACGGGAATTGTCACTTGTTTTAAGAACCCTGTCCTGTAAGCGTCTTAATGTCCTGAAATAGTTATTTATTCATTTCTTAAGACTTTTCTATTTTATAACAAAGTAGCAAATCAATTACCAAGAGAATATAGCTCAATATATAGCAGATATGCTAATGTTTGATTAATAATCAAATTCATATTGGATGTACATTTAGAAGAAAAGCTGTTCTTGCAGAATTTTGCCCAGTTTCCCTGTAATTGCTGAATTTCTTAAGACAGCATTTCAAAAATTGACTGAGCATGCGGCATTTTAAGTTGTAGCAATCTCAGCAAATCTGCAGCTTTCTTTTATTTTGGGTAGTTGAATGGCTATGACCAAGTAGAATTCTTTATAAGTGTATTACACACCCACATGTATTAATATATCTCCATATGTATCTTCATATATATGTGTTCTGTGTTTTGTATGTACGCATACACATATAATCATATGAACCTAGATCCATCTAAATAACTGTAATAGTTACATTAGCTGCTATTCACATTTTCTGAATTCTAGACACTATGTTCTTCATTTTACGTGTACATTTTAAATTTTTTGTATCATTTAATCCTCATACAAATCCTTTGAAGTATGTACTTATATCTCAATTTTTCAAATGAAGAAATTAAAGCCTAGAGAAGTTAGATAACTTGCCCAAGATCACCCAGCAAATAAATCTTGGAGATGACATCTGAATCCAGACTCATAGTTTCAGATTCTACCCTCTTAACTAATTCTGACTTTCAGCATATGGTTTATAATAGGATAGATCAGTTTTTGACACTATACAAGAAATTTACATATTTGAGTTTTTGAATAGTGTAAGGAAAGCAATGTAGCATAGTCATTAAGAAAGTCATTAAGAAACTCACACTGCTTATGTTCAGTACCCGCACATGTTAACAGCATGTACTCAAATGCATTAGCCATTATTATTATATTAGAAATATATTTCAATTCAGAAGGCTTTAGTAGTGCAGCTCTACATTGACCAGTGTAGATTCTTAGAAGTAGGTGGGAAAAAACAAAAACAAAAATCCTAAAAGCCTGATGGTTTTGTAATCATAAGTGTAGTGAAAGCAATAATTTAAAACACACCCCCTTGCCAAATAAGCCAGACATAATTTCCTAAATCTGAATTCCCCACTCTCCATGCTGCCCGAAGCATGTTGCTATAGTGAGCGGGCTGTGTGACTTCACAGCACTCTTGATTGCAGTGCAATTTAGGCTGGACAGTATGGAAGCTATAATCCCCCTTGATTATTGACAGAATATTTTCATTGCTCCCAAATATTTGGGTCCCTTTAACTTTCTAATCAGCAAAATGTTAGTTAACATCATATGTTGGGCATAATTGCATGAATAGTATATTGTTATTTCAGGAGTTTTTTATTTTCTGAATAAGCATATTCAGAAGCCTCTGGAGAGCAGCAGATTGCTGCTGATTATTACCGTGTTCCCTATCTTTTTTTGGTATTTTAGTTGTCATGATCCTAAAAAGTGTGAAATGATTAGATTTTGAATTTTAAAGAGGGATAATTAAGAAAGATTAAATTTTTGGAAGTGTTTTAAACCGCAGAATAAAATGAGAGATTAAAGATGAGTTCTGTTGGGACAAGTAGCGTGGTGGTGAGTATAACCTTTCAATGTTGTTTCTGTTGGTTTATTTGACTTCCATTATTTAGGGTGGCAGAATTTATTCACAAAGTTGCAGATCGTTTTCCCTCTTGATATTGCAAAGCATATATATTCTTGGTATTTTGCTTTAGCTTTATATGTTTGACCAGTACTGTAAAATTCCAAAGGTTATGAGGCATCATAGCAGTTTCTGAACACAGGCATTGACATTTAGCATACTAGCAACAATGCAGTTTGTTGGTGCCTGGCTCAGCCAGCTGTTTCCTATGTATGCATTTCTAATTATTTAACTTTTAGCATTCCAGCACGTGAAACTTTTCAGATTTCCAAATTTTCTGGGCTTATTGCATTTAGTGCTTTCTTAAGTTACAGTGTTGGTGGTCTTCCTCTATTGAAATCAAGCAAGGATTACTTGTTGAAAATTCCAAGTTAACACAGAAACTTCTGATTTTAAGTT